AGAGAGAGAGAGAGAGAGAGAGAGAGAGAGAGAGAGAGGGGACGATAGGAAAAGGTGTTCGATTCGATCGGGAGGTGGTGACGAAGGGTGGCAGGGACGATAGCTTTGTCCGACATCGTTCGATTCGAACGTGTCACCCGTGGGAGGGTGCGCTCGTTTGTAACGGCGAAGAATTACGCCGAGACGGTGATGGTGGTGGTGGCTTTAAACGGACCGGATTGTTCGAATGGATATCCTTTCTTCGGGAATGCCGGTTTTCGAACGCGCCTAACCTTCTCGTTATCGGTTCTTTGACTACGTCGTCGATTCGTGCCTTGTCAAGGTGGTGTAACGCGTTCTTACAATGGTTCGTTATGGGGGAGCCGTTCGTTCTTGCCTCGCGCTTCGCGGAGATCTCGTGGCGTGGGAGGAGGGAGGAGTTGGAGAACGGGAATTGGAGGCCCGCTTTTTTGCCTAAGGGCGTCTCGTAAAATCATCAAAAGATTCGTACCACGACTCGTAGAAAATTTAATCGAACTTTTGCCGAGGGAATTTCTTTCCTCAAAATTGATCCTTTGTCGCAAAATTAAGGTTACGAAAGGTTCATTCTACGAAATAGTTTAATTCATTTTCGTATTTCGAATTCAAATGAATTCAAATTATCTTTATCACGTTAACAGAGATTACGAAACGTTTGATTTAAGAAAAATGAATCTACCTCCGTTAATACGTACGTACGTACGATAAACTCGCACAAACGGTTCTCTTGTACGCGTATATACATACGCATCTCGAGATGGTGGTGGAACGTAATCGATGTAGAGGTGCTCTCTCGAGCACCTGTTATTTTCGCCCCATTATTCCTCCGACCTATTGTTAAACCGGCGCTGGTTTGATCTCGAAGGAAAATAGCCTTTAACGTGCCGAGTTATAATCTGAATTCCGTATCTCGTTGAATCGCTTCATCTACGCTCTCCGACATCCGTTCCACGTTCGCCGAGTCGAAGAAACGGGCGGCTACAAAGAGTATTGTCGAGCAACTTCCGATCGTAAGACGTTGTCTCTGCATAGAAAACAATCGCAACTGTAGTCCGCTAATATTCCGTGTCGTATTGTTACGCCCTCTCGCAACGATCAGGTTAATTATGATCCCGATGAAAGGTTGGATGATCGCGCTTCGTTCCCCCTTTACTTATTGACAGTCGAAACGATCACGAAATTCGCCCGTTTATCGATCGAAGAAACGATTTCGGAGTTTTAGAAAATTCGCATCGAGATTAATCGCGCGTAGATGATCACTCGGCGTAGTTCTTTCCCCACTCTGGAAATTTCCTCCCCTTTGATATTAAATTTAGAAACACGGATTAACACGGGAACGCTCCTCGTAAGCGAAACGAATATCATCAGCGAAGCGAATTTAATTACCGAAACGGGGGTTAAATTAACGTGTAGCTGTACTTTTGATCACTTTTGTACGCGTTTCGTAATTCGTTCCGCGCTTTCTCTGTCGCCTGGATTGTCCGCCAATTTCTTATCACCGCGAAAGGTAAATATTCGAGCGAAGCTCTCGTTAATTTCATCCCCGTTCGATGTAAAATTAATATTGAAGCGGTGCTCGAAATCGCTCCGACCGAATAATTCGAATTACTTTACACGCGTATTTCGGTCGGAAGAGGGAGCGATGGCAAGTGATTCGCGTCATCCTCGCGGATCCTGGTGAGCTACGTGTTCAATTTGAATATGATTGATCGAGAGCACCTCTAAATAGGACGTGAATGGATACGCGCTCGTACGAGGAGAGGGTGGCTCGCGATAAGACGAAGGTAGAGGCAGCCAGCCGTCCTCGTGCTGGCGTTTTCCATGTGTACAGGAGGCGTGGTACAGCTTAAGGAGACGAAACGCGTGACGGTGACGCGTAGCAACACGCTATCGATGCTGGCGGAGGCTCTCACTTAAACCCGATGATAACGTCGTTACGTCGGTTGGGGAGTCGTTCGACGACAAATCGAGGGAAAGTGACGATGATAGATGTTGAGAGATCACTCGTGAACTTGAACCAACGAATACGAACGAAGATCGTTTATTGGCAAGAGATTCTTCGGGATGTACGTTATCTTTGGAGATAACAAAACACGGTGAAATCGAGTTTTTGAAGGGAAGAAAGGGAATTTGCTTTGGAATTATTTATGGACGAGCGAAATAACGAACGAAGTTTAATTTTTTACAAATATTAATCCAACGTTGATTTCTTTTTAAATTTTTCGATTTCGTGGAATACGGATTTAGCGATTTTTGCAAGCTTTTGCATTCTCGTTAAAACGTTTCTCGAAGAGTTTCTTCTTTTTCTTTTCTTCCTTTTTTGATTTTAATTTTATTTTTCAACTGTTGTTTCTCTGTTATTTCGAAATTCAGAGCAAAGGATCAATGTTTTCGCGTAATGTAATTACAAGTAGAATGACTAAATGAAGCCGAGGCACTTTTAATTAAGCTCTAGCTTTATTCGTTGAAACGTTGCTTCATTCCTGTTGGATGCCACGTCTTTATTTCTTACTTAACTCCGCACTTTCGGCGGGTTTCGCAACGAGGGCTTAGAAATTCGAAGGCAAAACTTTCCGGGAAACTTCCCAACTTCCCAAAATTGTTAAACTGTCTTGAAAATTTATGTAATCAAACGGTACATTGTGCGTTATTTCCTAGATGAAAGAATTTTTTTTTCTTTTCCCCTCCTTTTCTTTATATTCCTTCCTTATACTCTTCTTCTTCTTCTTCTTCTTCTTCTATTTTTCGAAGAGTTCGAAATTTATGTAACTCTTCCCAATGTTTCTTTCCTTAACTTACACACATTTTCAGTTTCATAATTACTTTTAATCTCCCTATCAATTCATATAACTTTTACGTGAACAATTTTAACGAGTCGTTCCATTCTTTGAAGTAACCAAACTAATAACTCAACGTGATCAAAAACGTGATTTCAAATTTTTACTCGCAAGTAATTTGTAGAGGAAGCCAAATTTCCCCATTACTCGCATACTTCTGTCGAGGATACCTCTAAAGTTTCCTATGTTAAATTAATAAAAAAAAAGAGAGAAAGAAAATCTTTAGAAAGGACCTTTTAAAAATGGAACACATTTATCCGATATAATTTTGCCTAATCGAGATGAACTGTTATTTTCTCTGAATGTTACGTTTCCTCGTTATAAGATTGAAATATACAATATCGTGGGATGAATCTCGCGTGACGTGCCTCCTAAATTTTCGTACAATTTATGATCTCCCGTGAACTCGTTTTACTTTTCGTTTCTTATAAGAAGATACGACGAGAGGAGGAAACTTGTGTGGTAAGGTAAATTACGGTGGATTTTCCGAGGATGCGGGAGTCAAGTTTGCTCAATGTTTGGAATATGGGTCGTGAATTATATAATCGTAACGCGAGATTTATACTCTCACCGTTCGACAAGAAGCGGCGTTCAAAATTTGTTGGAAAATTTTTTATCAACCCCAAAGAGCTATCGATAAATTATACAGTTATAAAGATCCAAGTCTAAAAGATTGGTAAAACGAAAGGATGTTCCCTCGTCCGGAGTCCCAGTTTCCAACTCCTTACACATTCCTCTCCACAGACTTCTCCAATTTTAAAAGTGAGATGATCTACGATTCCACGTTCCAGCGAGAAGCTACACACACACACACATACATTTCGTAACGCTTTTATTAAAATTTTTACAAAGAAGGAGGGACGAAAAGGTGCGGAAAAATTTCTAATCCGAAAGACAAAAAAAAACGAAACGAAAGGAACTCCTCCTCCTGCCGCCATCTTCTTATTGTCTACTCTATTTATTTATGGAATACAAGCTGTGTAGCGAGTTTCGCGTGCGCGTGGCCGTTGAAAGCCGGTGAAAAGCCGCGTGGAAAAGGAGCGAGAGGGAAAAGAATATGTATATGTGTGTGTGCGCGCGCGAGAAGAGAAAAAGCGCGGGTTCAATTTCGTCCCTTTGGAAGAAGAGATATCGACGTCATTCATAGCCAGGCTTTTCGCGCCCTCTCACCGTAAGGGGAACGTAATTATAGGTATCCCTTTCATCCGACTCCGGGGATAGATAGATTCCAGCCGGCCAACTAATCCAGCTAATCCCTCTTCTAGGCTTTCAACGGGCCCTTCACGCGGCTTCGATCCCATCAGCCGATGCTTATCATTTCGTGGCTGGTTTTATTAAATGCGCGCCCGTCCCGGTTCTATCTCTTGACGAGCGACAACCGCCACCTGCTTCAATTACGTTATCGTGAATTTCATTCGATGAACACGTCCGGATGAATGCATCGATCGATCTTGAATGCCGATCGGGTGTGTGGACAATCGGTATGTATATATTTCGTGGGTTTGAAAGATCAATTCTCGAAGCCAAGAACGAAAAGTTGGTGCGCAAAAGTTATTTGTCGAGGA